CTATTAATGGTTGAAGTTGGCCTACTAATTTGAGACCATTTTATTGTATACTTATTCCTAAGCACTCATCCAAATAAAAGCACATTTCTGATTCACACTTCATAAGATAGGCTGTTATCTATCATCAAATAAAGGGGGATTCATTCATCACCAAATTAAAGATAAAATTCTGATTTCCTTTTATACTTGACGGGCTATCAGCTAGTAATATATAAGATCATCATTTTTTGTAAATAATATACAAAAATATATACACAATGACTTATTTCTTTAATTGTTTATTATAAAAATTGTATCTTACTCTGTAAAGAAAACAAGACAAAATACGATTATTCTCCACTACATTAAATGTAAATAAAGATAAAGCATCTTCACTAAAACTAATGATTATATTAATATCAGAGACAAGTAAAAAAACCATTAGCACGGCCCGACCCGAATTCTTTTAAAATTATATTACATTTATTTTTAATTTTTATAGCTAATAATGTAATTTAAAATATATGGCCCGGTCCGGGTATTAGAAAATTTTTTTAAATGTTTAGGTCCGGCCCGGGTAAATTTAGAAAAATTAACTTAGAGCCAGGTTTGCAGGCCTCTAATTATTATCGATATAACAATTACAATATTTTTAGTTTATTTTAATCTGCTTTGATGAATTATTGTACTAGTACTGTAAGCATTTCTAAAGAAATCAAACGCGTTCAACCTTCGTTGACAAAAATCGAACTCATTCGCGTTCAACGTTCACCTTCAACGCATGTTCATAACTTTATGGATAAATTTTTCTTAAAAAATTCATTTACTATTTAATTTAATATAAATAAATGCCTTATATTTTTAACACAATATATTAGCCATGTTTAAAATTAATAGTTTAGTTTTGATGCATATAAATACAATATAATATAGTGAATAAAAAATATTTTTATTTATATAAAAATTTTTAAAATAATAAAAACACCTTTAAAATTTAATTATTATAAATTAATAAATATTACAATCAAGTGTCTCATTAAATTAGAACTTGAAGATTTTGAAGCTGATTTTGGAACTTTAAGTTTGGTAAGGATATTAGTTCCTTGAATATAGAAAGTTACTGTAAAATATTATAAATGTGATAAAGGAAACAGCTGATTATTTTTCTTAAAAAATTCGCCATAATTTTTTTTCCAAAAAAAAACGAAATTCGCTCACGAATGCGATCAACAGCAATCCTAAGTCTCTATTAGATTTTACTAAACTACGCAGTTCAGGCTAAGGCCTGATGCCAAACTTGTGGACCACCTTTACTGATGCAATAAAAATTAGGGTTAGTGTTTATATTGACCAGGACAAATACTATTTTTTTTTACCAAATCCGGTACATTCTGTAAAATCTAACAAAAATTGAAAATAATTTTATTTATAACTGAAATTAATTATTATAAAACTGCGAGAACGTGATTTAAAAACTGAACAAATTAATTCAAAAACCGTAAAATCAATCATTATAAAACTGTGAAACTAGTTAACCAAAACGGACCCTTTCTTTGAAAAAAATACGTTCACGTTCAAAATTATTTCAACATTTTTTTAAAAACGAGTTTTATTTTAAAACACAATTTTTTAACGATCGATAATATATTTTTTTGTGATAATCATTTTATTTATTTTAAAAAGGTATATTTGAAAATAACATAATTATGTTATTTATAAATGGACATATACTATATAATAGTTAGTGTTGTTAAAACGCCGCGAGTCGCGACCCTGACCCAAAGTTCGGGTCGTTTTTTCGACCTCGACCCGAGTTCAAGCCGAAAAAAACGACCTCGACCCAAAATATAGGTCGTTTTTTTCGGCCACGACCCGAGTCCAAGCCGAAAAAAACGACCTCGACCCAAAATATAGGTCGTTTTTTCCGACTCAGATTTGAAGTTTGGGTCGTTTTTTACGACTCAGACTTGGAGTTTGGTGTTTTTTTCGACTCTGACTTGAAGTTTATTTTTTAAGGCAAATATGTAAAAATATATTTTGAACATGTTAAATTAAAATTTCAGCTAAGATGTATCATAGGAAAATGACAATTGTGATAATCGTCATTTTTGAATTTTTTTTAGACAAATGGGTAAAAATATATTTTGTAAACATGTTAAATTTAAATTTCAGTGAAGATGTACCATAGGAAAGTGACAATTGTCATAATCGTCATTTTTAAACTTTTTTGAATTTTTTTAAGCAAATGGGTAAAAATATATTTTGTAAACATGTTTAATCAATTTTTCAGTGATGAAACCTTGAAAAAATTAAAATAGCCATGTTGATAATTTATTTGGAATATTTTAAGAAAATGGTTGAAATATAAATTATAAACTAGTTAATTAAAATTTCAATAAAAGCCATAGAAAAGTGATAAAAGTCATAATTATTTTTAAACTCTATTTAATCAAATAGTAAAAATCTTATTATTTTTACCCATTTGCCTTAAAAAAATTGAAAAAAGTTCAAAAATGACGATTATGACAATTGTCACTTTCCTATGGTACATCTTCACTGAAGTTTAAATTTAACATGTTTACAAAATTTTTACCCATATGTCTAAAAAAAATTGAAAAAGGTTCAAAAATGACGATTATGACAATTGTCACTTTCCTATGGTACATCTTCAAAGAAATTTTATTTTAACACATTTGCTACCCATTTGTATTTGTCTAAAAAAAATTGAAAAATGTTCAAAAATGACGATTAAAATAATTGTCACTTTCATATCGTACATCTTCACTGAAATTTTAATTTAACATGTTTGCAAAATATATTTTTACACATTGGCCTTAAAAAAATAAACTTCAAGTCTGAGTCGAAAAGTACGACCCATATTTTGGGTCGAGGTCGTTTTTTTCGGCTTGGACTCGGGTCGAGGTCGAAAAAAACGACCCATATTTTGGGTCGAGGTCGTTTTTTGGGTCAGCTCTATTCGAGCAGACTCGGCTAATCCGATAAACAACACTAATAATAGTATTAGGATATATAATCCTTGGGGATTTGGAACCTCGATTTTAAATTATTTATTGGGGGATATTTTTAAATTGGAAAATGAATCTCGGAAATATATCCCATCTATAGTACCCTCTCTTTATATTTTAGATAGTTTTACCATGAATTTTGTTGAATTTTTTAACTTATGAAAGGTATATATAAGTTTTAAGTGGCTCAAAAGTTCACTGCGAAATTGTCCGAAACTTATATACGTGCTGCATATATGCTGGAATTTCCTGTAAAATTATATTTAATTTAAACAAATGATTTTAAATTGTGAGATTCCGAATTGCAATACTACTTAATATAATCTCCGTAATCAAGAAATGAACGTTTTCATATAATCTGAATGTTATTTTTATTTTTTCTATCAACTTTCCTATTATCTTAATGTTTATTATATTTTTTCTAACAACTTTCCTATATTAATGTTAATAAATCTAAGGAGACTATATACCTTTTTAATATTAAATTATTTTTAATAAAAGGAAATTTTTTTTACATTAATGAGATTCGATCCCCAGACTTAACATTACATAGGCAAACGTTCTTTCCAACTCAATTTTATAATACAATTCTTCTTATATATGAAAACATATTGATAAAATAATTTAATTATATCTATATTTTTTTTAGGCTTGGGAAAAAAATTTCAAAATTATTACCTTTGAGAAGAATCTTTTCAAATTATAATGGGTCAGGCTGGGCTTGGAAAATATTTCCATAAATTATATTGAGCTGGGCTTGGGTAAAATTTTTCTAATTATTATGCTTTTTATTATTAACTATGGATCAGACATTGACCTAAAACAAATTTTTTTTGCAGGCCTGGGCTTGGCCTGATCAAAAAACCAAGGCCCATATTTTATTCTAGTTCTCAACTACCAAAATTATTATGATCTTTGGTTGGGGCTGAGGAAATTTTTCCAAAATTATTATGGCCTTGGACCTTGCTTGGAAATTTTTCCAATATTAAAATATTAGGCATAGGTGATCAGTAATACCTTAACAAATAATATTGATATGGGTATCAAGTAAAAGCTTTAAATATATTTTGACTCAAAACATAGCATTTAGACTTAGTTTTAATGGATTAGACCTGGCCTGAAGGGGGGGGGGTTATAAAGAATAAAAATTGGATATTATTTTAAATAATAGGTAATAACTATCATAAGAGTAGAAAATTCTCATTCCCCGTCAATTATGACGGGTTCAGCAATGCTGACTAACGGGAGCTCTGGTACTCTTAGTTATATATTTTTCATTTTGATTATCAAGAAAGATTGGTCATCATAATTTAAATTAAGAATATCTTATGAGGTGTGATTCACAAATTTACTTCTTTTTCTCCTAAATTTTAATATTTTTATAAAATATATTAATAAAGTATATTTAGTACCATATACACAAACTAATTACTCCTCAACTCCGTCATTCTTGACGGTTTATTAGTAAGTATTATATAAGGAGAAACTATTGCAAAATAAAATATATTTTTTAAAAAAATAAGTATTTTGAAAAAATATTTAAAATGTTGATTTATATACATACTGTATGTCCTACATATCTCAAATGAATATCTGTTGATTGATGTAAAAAAAAGCTTCCTTGTGATGATTTCTAACCATACTAGCCTGAGCTCAAATGGTAAATTGTTGATGTTATTTATTTATTGGAGAAAGGGCTATAGATAGAGGAAGAGCCCTTCAAAACTAAAGTCCCATGATTTTCCAATCATTAATTGTTATTATAATTTAAAAAAAATTATGAATCGGCCCAGCCCATAAAGACAACTCGGATTCGTAATTTTTTTAGGAATTATAATATCTAATCACTTTTGCATTAAGAAAACAATCATGCGTTATACAGAAATTTATGTTTTCGCGAATAAATTCTATGTAAATATAGAATAAGCTAATTTGTAATATATAGCAATTTCTTATTTGTTCACAAAAAATAATATATATCCTTTAATAATGTAGGATGGATTGTATGAATGTATTCTTTGTGCTTGTTGTTCTACCGGGTGCCCAAGTTATTGGTGGAATAGTGACAAATATCTAGGTCCGGCCACATTAATGCAGGCATATAGATGGATAATTGACTCACGCGATCAAGCTACGCATGAAAGATTAGCAAAGCTTGAAGGCAAATGGAAACTTTTCAAGTGTCATACCATTCTTAATTGCACTAAGACATGTCCAAAGGTAAATAATTTTGTCATATTCATATTAAATTAATATAATCGCTTTTCTCATTTTCCCTTTCCATACATAATTCACATTTATACTTGTATGTAATCTTCAACAGGTTATTGAAAGTAGAAGTCTGCATCGCGCCCGATATACCCGATTTGGTCCGTATTTTTTAATTATTAGTTTGTCCCATCCCAGATAAATAGGGTAATAGGTATTGCGCCAGGCCCGATCCGAAAAATTTACGTGGTCTTAATTTATTTGGAGATTAGTAATTAAAAATTCTTCAATAAAAATCGTTTTTTTAATTCTTGGCTCTCCGAGATTAAACGATATATATACCATATTATATGTTAAAATTATATATTCATGTAAATACTTCGAAAACTAAAATTTGAATAATTTCAGAGTTGCACTGATTCCATATTTAGACACCTAGCATCGATAATTATAGTACAAATAAGTTACTGAAAAAAATATACACAAAAACTTAATCATATTTTATTTTAAATCAATTGTTATTTTTTAAAATTCTTACTAAGTAACACTGTGATATTGATTGATTTTTTTACAAATTTTGAAATATTGATAAATTCTATTCAATAAATTTTTAAAACTTATTAAAATAAAAAATGAAGAATTTTAAAAAATATAATTGATGGAATAAGAATTTGATATTTTTTTTTCGTTTTGCATTATAGTTTCTCTCAGAAGTTTTACTTTTTTTTGTTAGGATGTCTTAAAAGCTATATTTTTTAATTATAAAATTATAAAGATGATGTTAAAAGTTTTTTTAAAATTAAAAAAAGATGAAAAATTTATCCATTCCAGATCCCTGTTTATTAGGGTAATATTTTTGCTCCCCCTCCTCCACCGATTAAATTAACGTTTTGGGCTATTTTCATACAAAAAATATATATTACATAAATTCATTAATATTGCATAAATTATCCTTGATAAGAAATTATGATTAATATTACCTAATTTAGTCCTTTACCAATTCTTTATATTTTTCAATTTATAATGTCAAAGAAGGGCTTCAAATTTTTTATATAGTAGAAGAAACCTTTAAAAATAATCTGTCAATAAGGTTACATGTCAATACCGCGAAAATTTTAGCGCGAAATGTATTATCGCGAATGCATTACAGCGAATGTCGATTAACGCGAAATATTATTATAGCGAATGCATTACCTAGAATACATTATCGTGAATATAATATTGCAAATGCATTACCGCTAATGCATTATAGCGAATATAATACAGCGAAAATATTAAAGCGATTGCATTAGCGCTAATATAATACCGCGAATGTATTATAGCGATTACATTACAGCGAATGAATTATCGCGAATGCATTGCAGCAAACGCTTTACCGCAAATGCATTATCTCGAAAATGTGAAAGCTTATTTATTATAGCGAATGCGTTATCGCAAGTGTATGATCGCGAATATATTATCTTAAATGAATTACATCAGTTGCAATATCGAGAATGGAGTTTGATAAAAATTACAATTTTATATTTATCGGCCTTTAGACAGATTTGGTTGAACCTGGAAATTAAGTTAAACATTTTTTTTTGAAAATAGGGCTAAGGCTTTTAATTTTTCTTAACTCAAAATATATAAAAAAAATTCTAAGCAATAAAAGAGATTTCTCTAGGATTAGGGTAAAGAAATTATTTTTATATTAATTTTTCAATTAAATTTTGGAGTAGACAAAGAATTATCAAAAATGAGAAGAAAAAAAATCAAAAAAAATAAAGATTAAAAATGACCTAAAGAGATTGAAAAGATTAGAAATGTATGTAAAAGATTACAATACAAGGAGAAAAAAACATAAAAAATCAAAATAAAAGTAAAGAATTGTTGAAAATATGGAGCAGAGAGGTGAAGAAAAATAACGAAAAATTTATAAATTATTTTTAAAAAGACAAAAGAATCATCGAAAATGAGAAGAAAATTGAGAAAAGATATAGTAAGAAAAATAAAAATTTATAATTTTTTTAAAAAAATAACTATTTTCCTTTTTTGATTGAAACTTTTCTTTTTCGATTGAACCTTTTCCTTTTTTGTTTGACACTTTTCCTTTTTTAATCGGACTTTTTCCTAAGCCTTTAGGACTTTTTCTTTTTTAATTGACACTTTTCCTTTTTTGATCTGACGTTTTCCTTTTATGTTTGACCCTTTTCCTTTTTTGATTGGTTTCCTTTTATGATTGAACTTTTCCTTTTTTGATTGGGACTTTTCCTTTTTTGAATGGGAAACCCTATAATTTTAATATTTTTTAGTAATGTTATAGCCCGTTCCAGGAGGATTCCGTTCTCGTTCCATAAATTTACTAAACGTTCCGTTCTATATTTCTGTTTTTTTACTTTATCAGATTAATGTTCCAATTTAAATTTACCAACAAAACCTTAAAAATGTTATATTCATTTTTTTAAAAGATAGTATTTTTTATTTCAATTATTTCTTTTTAATAATATACAATAGGCATATTCAAAAATAATTCAAATCTAATCAAATAATTACGAATACGAATAATAAATTATTTGTTTTATCTGAATACGTAATATTTAATAAATTGTTTAATAAATATAACATTTGTCATTTCTATTTGTTGACCTGCCAATCTGACAGGTTATGTGTTTGTGTTTATAAAAATTCTAGCAAAAATTTAAAAATTTCTGAAGTGAAAATTTAATACCACATTTTTTGAATCTCACCAAAAGTTTATTTTTTGAATCTCATAATAAATTATATTAAAAATTACACAAACCAGAGGTATATAAAAATATAATACATCTCTACATTAATTATGTTAGCTTGCCTAATTATGTTAGAGGAGAATGCTTCTGATAAAATTATGCTTGATGTTGAATATGAGAAAATTTCCTCACAAAAGAGAGCAATCATATGGGATCAATATTAAATCTTTAAAGACGGTGAAAAGGCTGCTTGCAATCATTGCAAGAGTATTATAAAATGTAAAGGCAAAATAACATCTCCTCTTATTAATCATTATAATAGGTTTTATTCACACCTTAGTAAAAAAAAATAATATAATTGACATTTTTTTAAAGTCTACACCAAATTCTTCAAGAAAAATTAATTTTAAGGATAATTTATTAAAATTATATAAATAATAATATACCTTTTAAAATTATTAATTCAAATGATTTTAAAAGTTTTATAAGTGATCTTGATTGTTCAGTAAAATCAATATGCTCCAATACTCTTAAATTGCACATGTATAATACATTTGCAGAAAAAGAACAGTTGGTAAAGGAAATAATATCTAAAAATAAAAGTCAGATTAATTTTTCATCTGACATTTGGACTAGCCCAACACAGGTTCCTTTTTTAGGGCTAACAGCCCATTATTGATGATAATTTTAAAATAAATAACATAATTTTGGATGTCAGTCTAATAAATGAAACACATTCAGGTGAATAAATATTTAAAGCCTTTGTTAAAATAATTAAAAATTATAATTTAGAGAATAAAAATTTTTATATAACTTTAGATAATGCAACTAATAATAAAACATTTATTGATACATTTTCTTTAAAATATCCATTAATAAAAATAGGGCACATCCGATGCTTTGCCCATGTAATTAATTTAATATCCAAATAAATTTTAAAAATTTTAGATCCTTCAATTCTAAAACTAAGAAACATTATTAGAATGATTCATAATTCCCCTAAAAAATTAAAGTTATTAAAAAATATAAGTAGTTCCCTACACCCTCCCCTAAATTTTTTAAAACCAAAATTGGATTGTGAAATAAGGTGGAATCTACCAAATGATTGAAAGGGGCTTATTGCTAAAGCCTGCTATAACAAAATTAGTTAATTAATAACTAATATTAAAATTCTTCAAGAAAAACAAATATCAGAAGTAAACTAAAATTTATAATTAGGTAATAATATAATACTTTGATAACATATAGGAAGAATGGGAGGATCTTCTATCCTATTGCCTTTATATGAAACTACAAATATGATATGTGGAGAGAATTATCCTACTTATAATTTGGTTATACCTTATTATATTTTAATTCTTGAATATCTAAAAAATGAAAAACCTGGTTTCCATAAATCCTTTAACAATAGTTTCAAAGTAGCATGTGATAAATTGTTGGGCTATTATAATTTAATTGCCGATGATGCAATAATAACCACAATATTAGATCAGTTCCAACTATAGAACATTGGGAGAAGGTATTAAAAATTTAGATAATAATATATTTTTAGATTGCACAAGAATTTTTGAGAAATATGGATTTCCAAACTGCCTTGGCTCATTGGATGATAAGCACATAAAAATATAAAGTCCTCCAAAATTTGAAACCCTTTTTTACAATTATAGATTTTTTAAACCAATAATTTTACTTGGTTTTTCTGATAGCAATTGCCAATTTATATATATAGATGTAGGATCTTATGGAAAACAAAGTGATGGTGGCACTTTCAGAAATAGTAGTTTATATTAAAGTAAATTTTTAATAATAATAAATATTTTTTAATTATTTTAGAATTAGAAAATTAAACACTTTTTATTCCTCCTCCTAAATATATGTCAAATAATATCATTGTTCCACATAGGGATCTACAGGTTCGGATAAAAAAATGATTCAGGTTCTGTTCGAAATAAACATATCGGTTCGATTCGAACCTCTGAACATTTTTGTATTCAAGCCTACATTCGAATTATGAATAGAGAAGAATATTTTTTTTATTTCATCATTAAAAAAAACACATACATAAAACCTTCATTTTTATTAATTGCACACTATAAAATAATATTTAATTATTTAACTTTATTTACCTAAAATTTTTTATTGAGCCGTTCAATTTATATATTTTCAAGATTCGTCTCACTCAAATTACATCTATAAGGAGATAGTATAAATTTAATTGTTAAGAAACATTTTTCCACACTAAATTAGGTAGCCGGCACTGCCAGTATGATATCAGATTTGATGTATCATTTATAATACTATATG